GGCAGAATGGGGTTGGACTGGATGGCCCATGAGGTCTCTTCCAACTCTTTGATTCTATGATTCTATGAAATAGTAATAAGTAAAATGAATAATAGTACTATTTTTTTCCTCCAAGGAGACTTGGGGAATAAACAAATCCACACTGAACGCATCCAGAGCTTCTCATTGAATGCTCAAATTCCCACGATTCCTTTTCAAGAGAGGTCAGGGCTGTAAACTCGCATCCTGCAGCTCTGCGCACAAACGCTGGTCTTTGCACGGCCCAAGGAAACATGAGCATGGATGTGGCTGCTCAAAGCGGCCATGTTTTCCCCCCGGTTGCTAAGCAACCCCTTCCAGAAACAATGGCCGGGCACTGCTTTTTGGCCTGATGCAGAAGGGAGGCTGTGGCTAGAATTACTGGCAGACAAAAGCCAACTGTATAAGAAAGCGAGGGAGCACAAAGGAGGTAACAACCCCACGCCAAGGCCGACCCAAGACATTTTGCTACCAGAGGCAGAATACCGAAAAAAGTGCATAATACTCAGGCCCCATCTACACCGCCATATAATACAGTTTCTGAATACAGATCATCTGCTTTGAACTGTGTAAATCCAGCCTCAAAGGTTCCTCTGCCAGCCGAAAGATACAATCTCATAAATATGTATTCCTCATTATTAGACATCTTGACAAGAGCTGATGGGAATTGTGATACAGTAACATCTATAAGGAAGCCATTAGTTCTGTTTTGTCAGGAAAGTGGGGTTGAATTCAGATACAAGGCTTGTGGGTGTGATGGATGTCATTAAAATGTCCTATTAACAGGCATGAGCAAACTTTGGCCCTCCAGGTGTTTTGGACTCCAACTCCCACAATTCCTAACAGCCTACCGGCTGTTAGAAATTGTGGGAGTTGGGAGTCCAAAACACCTGGAGGGCCAAAGTTTGCCCATGCCTGTCCTATAACCTTTCCCCAACCTCAGAGCCACAAGTGCTGTCAGGTTGCAATTCCCATTATCCCCAGTTTGCAGGGCATATAATCAAAACTAGCCATCCCCTGTCATGTGTTGCTATGTCCCAGTCTAGGTATATGTGTATTTATTTATTTATTTATTTATTTAAAAGTTTTGTATACTGGCCTCACCTCTCTTGAGGAACTCAGACCGGTTTCCAACCATAATATCACATACAATCAATAAAACATCATAATA